TGGATGGATGGATGGGGTGTGGGCAGCGGGGCTGCCGCAGCCAGGAGAGCGGGGAGGGTGTGCTGGGTGGGCTGGGATGCGGGCAGGAGGTCCAGCAGCCCCCCAGGGCCTGGGCTTTGCTCTCCTCACAGCTCTGTGGGCATCCTGCCCCTCGCCCAAGGTGTGCCAGGACAGCCAGGCAGACCCCAGGACGTGCCCAGCCCCACTAGGGAGCACAGGGACCAGCTGAATTTTGGAAGTGAAACCCTTTAAAGCCGGTGGCTTTGAGCTCAGCTTATCCGCGCCGAGCACTCAGTGCATCATCTCCCTCCCGCACTGCAGTGCAGACACCTGCTGTTCCCTTTTGTTTCCGTGTACCCAGGTGTTTCAGCCATGTCAGGGCAGTGCCGTGGCATCCGTGGGCAAACTCCAGCTGTGCTGGGGTTAATGTGGGAGCAGCTCCCCGTGGAGGGGGGGCAGGTTTGGCTCCTCACCCCTTCCAGCCCTGCAGAGGCTGTCCCGGGGCTCGTGATGTCCGACCGGGAACGGCTCCTTTGCACGCCCGTGTTCCTGTGGAACAGCCTGTGCTGCTGCTCTGTATTACATGGAATTTTGGCCAGGGGGTGGCTGGGTGAGCGGCTGGGGTTGATGTTCCCTGAAGAGAACTGTCAAGGTTAAAAACCAGCCGGAGCTGGAGCTGCCGGTGCCTCCTGCATGGCCCCGCTCGGCGCTCGCCTGACCCTCCCTTTGCACCAAAGCAACTGCAAAAAGAGGAAAAACCAGGAGCAACCCCTTGTTCCTCGTGTCGTGCTTGCTGAACTGATGGAAAAATCTCTCCTGCCTGAAGATCCAGGCTTCATCCCGCTGCGTTTATTCCCCGTCTCTCTCGCGCCGACGGAGACTGGCGCGTTAGTTGGTCCAGCTGGAAGCATTGTCTCCCATTAAATAAGGATTTTCAAATGAGCACATTCATCCACGGAGCTGTCACAGCCTGTTGGGTAACGAATGCGGAGCTGCCTGGGAGCCGTTGGCTCCAAAGAGCTGCGACAGTCTCGGGTGAACAAACCCCGTGTCACCCAAACCCTGCAGGGCCCCGGGGGTGGGAGGGAAGAGCCAAACTCGGGGCTGCAGGAGGCACTTCCACACCCTTTTTTCCTGCAGCCCTGAAGGGCCGTGGGCGCTCGTGGGGGCCCGGTTGGCAGCCCCGAGGTGGCATTGTCAGCCCCGAAGACTTTACAGCCAACATCTTCTTTTTAATTCCGACACCCGCAAAATAGCAGCTGAAATAACCCTGCTGTATGTCAGCTGCTGATGGAAGGAGATTAAATATTAAAGCCGGTGCTGTGGCTTTAACTCATTCCATTTTTTTTTTTTCTCCCTACTTTTCCCCCCCTTTCCCCCCCCCTTTCCCCCCCCCCCCCCGCCTTGCTTCCCCTCTCTGTGTAAAATGACATGATTTAGAACCCAAGTGCCAGACTCAGCCTCTGGGTTTCGGCGTTTGGAAATGCGTGGAGAAAGATATATTGTGTCTGTGAGCGTTTCTGTGCAGGGAAGGAGAGAGCTCCCGAGCTGTGAGCCCACATAAAGATGTTAAATAGAGCTGTAACGCGCACGGAACGCACGAAAAGTGCCTGAGAAGAAGGAGGGAAAAAAAAAAAACCAGAAATGAGGGGAAAAAAAAAAAAATCCTGCGATGAAGCAAAATGAAAGATTAAAATAAACCCGGTGCTAGCGAGGCTGGGCTGGAATGTGGGGCCGGGGCTGGCGGGGGAGAGACACAACCGTGTTCCACACCTCTTTGACCTAAAAATCCCATTTCTTTAGCAGAAAACTGAGCGGGAGAAATGGGAATTTTCTCCCTTTTCCTTTTTTTTTTCCCCCCTGCCTCTGGTGCTCAGTATTTCCGACAGCCGCTGCCTGCTAAATATTCATCCCAAACCCTCTGCTCCTCACAAAACCCTGATTTATTTCCCTCGGTTCACCCCAACCCACCCATTTCCCCTCTGCCAACACCGAATCCCATAAAAACCTGGGGCTTTGGGGGGGACCAAAACCGTGGCAAAGTGTGGGTGCCCCTTCCCTCCCCGGGCCCCTCTTCCAGCGCTTCCCAGTGCCGTGGATTCCGTCTCTGGGTCGCTCGCTCTTCCTTTGTTTGGGGATGTTTCGGTGTCGCCGGGATTCCTGATGCTCCCGGTGCCGGCTGGAGCCGAGCTGGAGGGATCGGGGAGGAAGGAAGCAAACCCAGAACCAGGCGTGTTTTAGGCCAGAGCGTTGAGAAATTCGATTTCAGGTTTATTCAAGGGTTAGTTACGGAGCGGGGTCCTGGGAGCGGAGGCTGGGAAAGCCGGAATGTGTGTGCCTGGAGTTAACACGGGCGAGAACCTCTTGGGTTTTCTGCCACCAGCTCGTAATTTCTTTTAATTTGAGCCCCAAATTACGAGTCACCACCAAAAAAAGCACCTCCTGATGCAACATTTTGAAGGACACTTCGCGTAACCCCCTTGTTCTTGGAGCCGAGGGGAACGTGGACGGTCTGTGTGTGTGGATGGACCCCGTGTCTGGGGGTCCCCTGCCTGCACTCATGTCCCCCCTGGGAAGGTGCCGTGGCGGCTTCCAGCCTGGAAAAACTCAAATTTACTCCCTAAAGCAACAGGAGCCGTAAATAAGCATCAGAAAAGGGTGTCACACCCGAGCGGATTCACGGGAACAGGTGGCTTTGGGTGGCTTGGGGGTTTGGATGGTTTAAAGAGGGAGGGAAGGAAGGGGAAAAGGGCAGGAAGGCTCTGCTGCTGCTGCTGCTTCTGCTGGTGCTGCTGCAGCGTTTTCTAGAAGCAGCCCCGATGCTGCTGGATGCATAAAAATCCTGCGGTACGGCCGCGCCGTGCCCTCGGCCGCCGTTTGTCGCAGTCTATTAGGAGAGACGCAATCCATCCTCGGGGTTTATGGTTATTTGCTTTAACCCCGTCCCTGCCTCTCCCCCTCCCTCATTCCCTCATCCCAGCTCGTGGGGCTGGCGCAACCCTTCATCCCTTTGTCTGGGTTTCGGTGCCGGTCCCATCGCACCCGGCCCGGGCGTGAAACCCCCCCACCACCACCACCCTAAAACCTTAAAGTGGGATTTTTATCCTCGCTAAACCCTCCCGAAAAGGTGTGGGGGGGTTGTGTCCTCCAGTTCTCCCTGCAGGTGGAATTTTGGTGGAGGATGAGGTGGAATTTTGGTGGAGGATGAGGTGTTCCCCCAGGACACCGCTCCATCCTGCCCCATAAACCCACGGCTCGAATCGCCCGTGCTCCGCCTCACACCATCCCAAAAAAGTTGCCTGACCCCCAGCAGGACCTAATTCCCCGCTCCATCAGCCGGCAGTAAAGCAGGGATGTTGCCCAGCAGCGCAGATCCGCGTTCCCGTCGGCTGCAGCTTAAAAACCTGGATTATTAAAAAATAGCTGCCCCCCAGAAGGCTCGTTAATGGTTTTTCATTTTGAACCCCCTGTTTCACACACCCCTTTCCCCAAACCCCGAGCCCTCAGCAGCGATCGCGTTACATCCTCCTCCACCCCACCCCGCCGCAGGACGGACCCGTAAAACACCAAAACGCCTTTTATTCGCCATTTTTCCCCAAATTGTTTCGTTTCAGAGGTTCACAAACGAGGACCACCTGGCGGTTCATAAACACAAGCATGAGATGACATTGAAATTCGGCCCCGCTCGCACCGACTCCGTCATCATCGCAGGTATGTGCCCGGCCAGCGCCCAGCGCCGCCGTCGCGGGGGCCTGACGGCGGAGATTGATGCCAGGGACCAGATGCACTGCAAAAAAACGGCTCTGCCGCCCATAAAACCTCCTGTGATCTGCATTTAATCAGGGGGAAAGGAAAGCCAGAGGCTTCCCGG